CATCGAGCATCGAGCATCGAGCATCGAGCAACTTCGATGCAAGCAGGGTCACAACCGATTGACTCACTCTCGATCCGACCCACCAGCAAGCGGTGTCTACGCGGCGGAGCGAGCATACAGTGCAGACTCGAGGGTATCATTGTGTGGGCCGATGGAGCTGTATGGTGGCAGTGTCAGGGCGGGCAGAGTGTATGCAGTCGGAGGTAGGTGAGAATCAGGGGCAGCCAAGAGGTGCATTTGTTCGCAGCCTTGTTTTCGTTGGCTGCTCGAAATTCGCCGCTGGAATAGGAAGGTGTGTTGCCCGGCTGTCCGCCTCGCCTCCACTTTTTTCGCGGCGCGGTGAGGCTGTCGAAATGCGCATGAGGGCGCTGTCGCAGCTTTTCAGGGCTCGGTAGAATCTGCCTCGAACAAAGCTCACTCCCCCTTCAGCCGCTTTGCGAGACGACTGTACAGCTGTATGCTGCACGGCTTCATCCGACCCGCCCGTCCTTGAGAGCATACGTCCACGCAGGCGCTCGTGTGCACCGTCGCTGAGTGTGCACCTTTGACCTCCGCTCGCCCTATTTACACGCTCCGATCCAAGCACCTCCAACCCGGCTCACAACCCCGACCTTTCATCTGTCTTCCCTTCCACATCGACCACCTCGCCTTCGTCGTCGTTGCCATCTTCGTCGCTGCACATCCACCATAGCTTGCGCGTTGACCACGATCTCGATCTCGTACAATCCACGCAACCGGGCCTAGACATCCGCCATGCCCATCCTTGCTCGTATGTCTTGCGAGCGCACACACGCTCCTCAGGCGGTATACTGACCTGCTTTTCTGAATACAGGCCTCAAACACAAGCTCTCGCGGCGCTTTGACGAGGACAAGTCGTCCTCGTCGCCAGCTTCGTCGCTGCCTCCCTCGCCCACCAAGCCTGCTGCGTACTCGACGGCGGCTGCCACCGACGCGCCCGCCGCCACAGCCCCTGCCACCAACGCACCTGCTGCATCGCAGCCATCGTCCTCGGCTGACCCCGCTACGCCTGTAGCCACCGCTCCTGCAAGCGGCGCCGCTCCGGTGGCTGCTCCTACCACGCCCGCTGCTCCTGCCAACGGCGACACCACGCCCGCGGACGAGACCACCGATGCGGACGGCCACAACTTCACCACCAACGGTGCGGTGGTTCCGCGTGTCAACTTGGCCTACTTTACCAACTGGGGCATCTACGGCCGCAAGTATGCGCCGTCGGACGTGCCTGCGAGCCAGCTGACGCACATCCTCTACGCGTTTGCCGACGTCAAGCCCGACACGGGCGAGTGCATCCTGACGGACCTGTGGGCGGACGAGCAGCTGCACTACGCCGGCGACTCGTGGAACGACACGGGCAACAACCTCTACGGCAACTTCAAGCAGTTTCTGCTCATGAAGAAGCAGAACCGTGCGCTTAAGCTCATGCTCTCCATCGGAGGCTGGACGTTTGGCCCGCACTTTGCGCCCATGGCGGCCGATGCCAAGAAGCGCGCGCGCTTTGTGTCGTCTGCCATCGCCATCCTGGAGAATGATGGACTGGATGGACTGGATATCGACTGGGAGTATCCGGCCAATGCACAGCAGGCGAGCAACTTTACCTCGCTCCTCAAGGAGCTGCGCGCGGGGCTGACGGCTCATGCAGCCAAGAAGCAGGACAAGGTGCCCTATCTGCTCTCCATCGCGGCTCCGTGCGGTGCAGACCACTACAAGCTGCTCGAGGTGGCCAAGATGGATCAGTACCTCGACTTTTGGAACCTGATGGCCTACGACTTTTCCGGCGCCTGGTCCACCGTCACGGGCCATCAGGCCAATCTGTGGAACATCAAGGGCAAGGCACCTTCTGCGGATGATGCGGTCAACTTTTACATCAACAACGGCGTTGTCTCGCACAAGCTCGTTCTGGGTATTCCCCTGTACGGTCGAGGCTTCCAGAACACTGATGGGTCTCAGAAACCCTACAACGGCACGGGACAGGGGACGTGGGAGGCGGGCAATTGGGACTACAAGTTCCTCCCCGTCAAGGGGGCCAAGGAGATGATCAACACCAAGATCGCCGCGAGCTGGAGCTATGATTCGGCCAAGCGAGAGTTTATCTCGTACGATACGCCGCAGAATGTGCTGCTCAAGTGCGAGTACATCCGCAACAAGCGTCTGCGTGGCGCCATGTTTTGGGAGCTCAGTGGCGATGCTACCAAGACCCAGGGCGGTGCGGATAGGAGTCTGGTGGCCTTGACGGCCAAGAATATGGGCACCCTCGACGCAACGCTAAACCACATCTCCTATCCCTTCAGCAAGTGGGACAACGTCAAGAAGGGAATGCCCAAGTAGATCCAAGTTGCATCCATGTTCACCCGCCTTGTTTGCATCGTGACCCCTTGACCCCCGAACCTCTCTCTGTCTTCTCGTTATGGACAATCTCACTTCGGTTTATGCTATGAATCGCCTGTGTCTTTTTCGTGTCCCCAATTTTTTGAGCATCTCAACTATTTCAGACGCCTAAAAATCCGACTCTGCACAGAAAACATAGACCAACGGGCATAGAAAGGGAGATGCAATGCGATTGCGGGGGGTGGGGGGCAAGCTACAGTACAACCACGTCTGTGCTTACGCGGTGGCGGCGGCCGAAGCGGCGCCTATCGCGGTAGCAGACAGGATCATCTCGAGACTCCCCCTGACCTGCATAAGGTCGCGCTGCAACCGCAGTTCGTCGGCGACTTTGGCCCAGATCCTTCCGAAGAGATCGTCGATCAACGGACTCTGACCGATCACACCCGCGTACGTGTCGACGATGACGTTGAGCGTGTCGCAGACCAGGTCGACGTAGCTCGGATTGGCAGCGTGGCGCAGCAAGAAGCGCAGCACCGGTTCGAGCGTGACATCGTCGCGACCGGCAATGGCGCGCCTGAGCCCGTCCGCCGACCCCCTCGGACTACGGTGGATCAGCTCCAAGATCAAGCCGAATGTGACGCTTGGTGCGACGCCCTTGCGGAGCGCAGCATCGAGCGCATCCGAGTAGCGGAAGGATTTGAGCAGACGGTCGTAGTCGGCCAGCTTGCGTTTGCGCACGGCGTCTACGCGGATGTCGTCCGTCGCCCGACGCGCATTCACCTTGCCCGGCTGGTTGGTCGCCACCCTTCCCTGCATGAAGAACTCGTACGCGCCGGCGTTCATCGCCGCGCGTTCGGCCTCCCGACGCTCGAGTTCGCTCGCCTTGATGTCGCGCTTGCGCACGCACAGCGTACCGTCCGCCATGCCCACCGCAATATGCGACTCGTCCGGAGACACTGCCATGGACAGAATGGGCGAGGGATACCGCATCGTATGCGTCACCTTGAAGTCGTGCGCCGGATCGTACACCTTGACCAGGTGATCCAGACCTCCTGTGAGGATACGCATGCCGCCGAGGGACTCGGTGTTGTCGACGGAAAAGTCGGCACCCGAGTGCACCGAAAGTGCGAGCGAGGTGATGGTCTTTTGGTGGTTCGAGATGCTCGCCATGCATCGACCGCCCATCATGAGGTCCCAGACCTTCATCACGGGTCCGCCTGCGGACAGCGCCACACCGCCACCACCGGTAGGATACACCAGTACGTCCTCGACGGGCGCGCCATGGTTCATGCTCATGGCGCATCCGCCCTGTTCGCCCATGCGTGCATCCCAAAGCTTGACGGTGGCATCGTAGCTTCCGCTCAACAAGAGCGCCGGGTTGTCGGGCGAGAATACGGCGGATCGAACATAGTCCTCGTGGCCCTCGAATACGTGCACCGCCTTCTGCTCGGGTACATCCCACAGCCTGACCGTGCGATCGTCGGAGGCGGACATGATTTCAGTTCCGTTGGGCGAGAACCTGGTGACATGCACCGGATTCGAGTGCCCGCGCATGGTACGCAGAATGGCTCGCGACGTCGTATCAAACACCTGGATCAAGCCCGAATCGTCGCCGGCCACCATGAGTCGACCGTCGGAGCGGAAATTGGCTGAGCGCGCTACATCCTTGAAGCGCGAGATGGTCTTGGCGACGCGCGCGTTGCGCATCGAGTAGATCTGGACCCGCGCGCCCGTGGTCACAGCGAACTTCTGGCGTGCGGATACGCTGGTGGGTTGGGTGGACGTCGATCCCACCACCGAGTTGGGCGCGGCATCGTCCTCGGGTGCGGTAGAGTAGACCGAGACGGGCGGGACAAAGTGGATGGACGTGATGGGTGCGAGCTCCTTGACAAAGACGGGGGCGCGGAACTTGCGCCAGTAGTGCGACTCGGGCGAGCGCGACGACGACGGGCGCGCCGAGCTGGACGCAACCGGCCGCAATGCTGCGTACTCCATGGTAGTGAACGGCGGTGGGCGTGCAGTCGTGTGTGGGGGGAGAGGGTTGGATGGTGAGGGTGATGTTGCGGGTGGAATAGGAAGGGTGCAAATTTGCTCCTGCTCCCACCTCCATGTGGAGAGAGAGAGCGAGCTGCGACTCCTTCCAAATCGTGCGAGACCGACGCCCAAAAAATTTCCCAAAAAGACCCTGAACAGCGTCACGTGAGTTTGTTGCACATCTTCAGAATGTTAGACCTCGAGGCCATCTTTTCGCCACAAAAAACCGGGGGGGCGACACTCGGAATCGACTCGTCACACGAGCGGCGCGGTCGAGGTGCATAAAGTGACTGACTGCTGTTTGCGCATGCCTGGAACGCGGCGGTGAGGCATCGGAGAGTCTTGGCGGCGCGCGCCACCCACGCGCTGTCGGCACGCTGTGGACGCAACTGGCACGCACACACACACCAACGAGACGAGCAGCAGCAGGGTAAGGCCAAGAAGCTTGGATCACGCAGGCCGAGCATCTGGGCAGGCATGGTCGCCCGGCGGTTGGCGAGATGAGATTGGGTGGGCGGAGCGC